ATAATAGGGCTATGTACATTGGATACTTTTTCTTCCATTCCTGTGATACTTTGCTAAGAAGGACACTTTCCAGCTCCATCCATGTGAACATGAAGGACGTAAAGTTTCCATCTTTCTTTATGGCTGCATAGTATTCCATGGTGTACATATACCACAGTTTGTTGATCCATTCATAGATCGATGGGCACTTGGGCTTCCTCCATGACCTGGCAATTATGAATTGGGCTGCAATAAACATTCTGATACAAACATTTTTGTTATAATGTGATTTTTTGGTCTTCTGGGTATATACCTAATAAAGGAATTGCAGGATCAAATGGCAGGTCTATTTTTAGTTCTCTAAGTGTTCTCCAAACGTCTTTCCAAAAGGAACGTATTAGTTTACATTCCCACCAGCAGTGTAGAAGTGTTCCCTTTTCTCCACATCCATGCCAGCATCTCTGGTTTTGGGATTTTGTGATATGGGCTAATCTTACTGGAGTGAGGTGATATTTCAAAGTAGTTTTGATTTGCATTTCTCTGATGATTAAGGATGGTGAGCATTTTTTCATATGTCTGTAGGCCATGCGCCAATCTTCTTTAGAGAAATTTCTCTTTAAGTCCCTTGCCTACCCTGAGATGGGATCACTCGTTCTCGTCTTGCTAATACGTTTGAGTTCTCTATGGATTCTGGTTATTAAACCTTTGTCAGAGACATAACCTGCAAAAATCTTCTCCCATTCTCAGGGCTGTCTGCTTGCTTTACTTACTGTGCTCTTGGCTGTGCAGAAGCTCTTTAGTTTGATCGGGTCCCAATAGTGTATTTTTGACGTTGCTTCAATTGCCCGGGATGTCCTCCTCATAAAATATTCGCCCAGGCCGAAACTTCTTTTCAAGTACTCATCCTCCAACATATGTCTTTGGTGATATGTCTGTTCAAGTCTTTTGCTCATTTTTAATTGGGTTGTTTTCTTACTATTGAGTTTATGAGTTCTTCATATATTCTTGATATCACTCCATTGTCACATATGTGGTTTGCAAATAATTTCTCTCTGTATCTCATCTTCTCAACCTCTCAACAGGGTCTTTCAGAGAGTAAAGCTATTTCATTTTGGCGAAACCCAATTTGTCATGTATTTTCCATACGGGCATAAACACAGACATAGAGCAATGTAACCAAATAGAGAACTCCAAAATAAATCCACATACTTACAGCCAACTGATTTCTACAAGGCTGCCAAGAACATACATTGGGAAAAAGACACCCTCTTCAATAAACAGTGCTGAGAAAACTGGATGTTCATACGCAGAAAATGAAACTAGACTCCCATCTCTCATCATATACAAAAATCAGCTCAAAATAGATCAAAGATCTAAATGTGGCCAGGCATGGTCATTCACACCTGTAATCCTAGCATTTAGGGAGACCAAGGAAGGAGAATCACTTGAGGGCAGGAGTTTGAGGCCAGCCTGAGCAACATAGCAAGACCCTATCCTTACAAACCACAGTGAGATACCATCTCACCCCAGTTAGAATGGCTATTATCAAAAAGACAAAAAAATAAATAAATAAACAAATGCCGATAAGAACATGAAGAAAAGGGAAAACATACAGTGTTGGTGGGAATATAAATGAGTCTAGCCATTACAGGAAATAGAATGAAAGTTTCTCAAAAAACTAATATGATCCAATAATCCCAATAACTGGGTTACTTATCCAAAGGAAAAGAAATCAGTATGTCAAAGAAATATCTGCACTGTAACACTCACCATTCACAACAGCCAAGATATAGAAGCAACTTAAATGCCCATCAAAAGATGAATCAGTAAAGAAAATATGGTATAAATACACAATGAGATACTCTTTAGGCATAAAAAAGAATGAAATCCTGCCATTCCCAGCAACAAAGATGAACCTGGATGACATTATGTTAAGTGAAACAATTCAGGCACAGAAAAATAAATACCATGTTCTCTCCCCATATGTAAGAGCTAAAAAATCAAATTGAGCTCATAGAAGTAGAGGATAGATGAGGGTATAGTTATGGCTATTAGAGAAAAGGTAAAGGGAGAGGAGAATAGGAAGAGGCTGGTTAAGGAATGCAAAATTATAGCTATGCAGGAGGAGTAAGCTCTAGTGTTCTGCACTGTTGTAGGCAAATGTTGTCAATACTTCATGTTTGAAAAGCTAGAAGAGAGGATTTTAAATGTTCCCAACACAAAAATGATAAACGTTTACAGTGATGGATATCATAATTACCTGATTTGATCATTATACATTGCATACACAAGAGCAAACAATCCCATCTATCACTGGGCGAGAGAGATGAACAGAACCTTCTCTGAAGAAGACAAAGGAATGATCAACAAGCACACGAGAAATGCTCATGGTCCCTAATCATCAGAGAAATGCAAATCGAAATCACCCTGAGATATCACCTAACCCCAATGAGAACAGCTCACATCACTAAGTCCCAAAGCTGTAAATGCTGCTGTGGATGTGGAGCGAAGGGAACACTTTTACACTGCTGGTGGGCCTGCAAACTAATACAGTTCCTTTGGAAAGAAGTATGGAGAATACCCAAAGAACTCAAAATAGACTTCCCATTTGATCCTGCAATCCCATTACTAGGTATCTACCCAGAAGAAAAAAAATCATTTTATTGTAAGGACATTTGTGCTAGATTGTTTATCACAGCTCAGTTTAATCCTATTCAGCCATAAGAAAAGATGGAGACTTCACATCTTTTGTATTAACCTGGATGGAACTGAAACACATTCTTCAAAATAAAGTATCACAAGAATGGAAAAGCAAGTATCCAACATACTCAATACTAATACAAAGCCAGTAGATGAATAATAAACACCTACACAGGAGAAAAATTCAATGCATCCAAATTGAGGGAGGGAGGAAGAAGGGAGATTGCAGTGCCCCCACCTGATGGGCACAATGTAAGAGTATATGGCACACCTCCTGGGACACAACTACAACAAGGACTTTACCCAACAAATGCAAACATTATAGCCTAATCATTTGTACCCTCATATAATCTGAAATTTAAAAAAGAAATACACCGTACACATGTATGAATATGTCATTCTGTACTCCATAAATATGTAAAATTATTCCATGTCAGCTAAAAAGGAAAGAAATAAAAATAACTTTTTAAGGGCTCTTCTTCCACAAAGCCTGATATTTAAAAGTCTGTTTCTGAATTTTGCCACCTCACTGACCCTCTATTTATTTTCAAATCAGCTCATGTTCTCCTTCCTCTGCTTTCATAATGAGCAGTAGTACTCATCACCTAAGGAAAACAGTAGGAGACCTGGCCAGTGGGGTGGCTCGATGTTCTTTCGTGGAGCACCGGCTTGTGATGGTGAGGATCTTGAGAACCAGTAATGGAAGCCTGCATATAAGCAACAGCTGGCTGCACATTATTAACTCACTCTCAATTCCAGGCACGGGTACCTTAGCAAATGATTTACATGTCTCAACAGACTTAATCCCAGATTAATCTAGGCAATTGGCAAAAGTCAGTGGTTAACTTACAGAACTCCCACTCAAGGGAAATGGAGAGCCATAATGAACGGTAAATAACAAAAGAAAACCTTGCTCCATTTATGACTCACAAATATTCTACTAGAGAAACTGGAGGGAAATAATCATTTAATGAATAAATTTTATCTGTCTTATGTACTCTATGTTTTAAAAGGGGATACATGATTAAGTCTTAATATTGTAGTGAAACAGGTCTTGGCAGACAGTGCCATATGGTCAGCTACTAGAACATGCTCTGATTTTACTCTTCTGAGGACTGAAAAAGTCTCAAGAGACTCGGCTCGGCACCTGTGGCTCAAGTGCCTAAGGTGCCAGCCACATACACCTGAGCTAGCGGGTTCGAATCCAGCCTGGGCCAGCCAAACAACAATGATGGCTGCAACCCAAAGTCTCAAGAGACTCTATGAGAAGTACCTAATTTTAGGGGGAAAGAGAACAGACTGGAAATTACCCATCCAGATAATCTTTCAGAAGTAGTCTAGCGGCTCTGTGCCTGTGGCTCAGGCAGCTAGGGCGCCAGCCACATACACCTAAGGTGGCGGGTTCGAATCCCCAGCCCGGGCCCGCCAAACAACAATGATGGCTGCAACCAAAAAATGGCCAGGCGTTGTGGTGGGCGCCTGTAGTCCCAGCTACTTGAGAGCCTGAGGCAGGAGACTCGCTTGAGCCCAGGAGTTGGAGGTTGCTGTGAGCGTGATGCCATGGCACTCTACCCAGGGGGATAGCTTGAGGCTCCGTCTCAAAAAAAAAAAAAAAAAAGAAGTGGTCTAGCTAATCTTGATGGGATATAAGTAATTCATTTCCCAAGAGAAATAATCACTTAAGAATCCCCAATGCAGTGTGGTACATCCAGCCAGGGCTAGAATTTCCACTGTCTGAGGCTAATAAGCATAGACATCTCTGAATAGTTTGAGATCATTAAGATCCTAAAAGTTGGCTCATCAGAGCCAGAAATAATCACCAAATAGGAAGATGACTAATTAATCAGACGACAATCTTGTTATTTAGATGCAAGATGCTGCTGACAAACTCCAGGAGGAAGCTAGAATCTAAATGGACAGCAATATGTCTGTAGCGCGTGCACTTGTGACCACCCTTACCCTGCTCTGCCTTTCTCAGCAGCTAGTCCAAGAGGCAGACAAAGACCTCTCTGCTAAAAACCACTTGTCTCAACTACTATTTCACCTTTGCAGATTCTCTAAGAGAAGCAAAGTCATTGCTGTCATCCTCCCAGGTGAGCAAGAGGCAAGATTTCCTTACAGAAAATCGCTGCAACAAAAAACAGCTCTAGAAAAACCTGCACTTATCTCTAACAACCCATTCAGTTCTCCCCTCAACAAATCACAGACAGAAGCATCACTTCGATGAACAAGGCAAATCCCCCTTCGCAGGGCAGGCCTGGACCGGGTCCACTTGTGCCCTCAGTTCCTCCCCTTCAGGGTATACGTGCTGCGGTTGTTACCTGTACAAGTGGCGGTTGTCTTCAAAATCTTCCTGACCCCACTTTCCCTTGATGTCTTCAATAACGTGATTTTTCAAGAACTTTTTTAGCAGCTGGACCGTTTGTTTGCGAGTCACCTCAGGGCCAAAGTTCTGACTGCACCTCAGCAGCTCGTGCAGCCAGTCCACCGCCTCGGCCGCCGTGAAGCAATGCTCATAACTCTTGAAACGACAGCGATGCTTCCGTAAGGGCATCCTCGCACGGAAAAGCTCCACTGTCTCATTCCACTAGGAGGAAAGGGAGAACCACATCGATTAACCAATCAACTTTTTAAAAGATGATTACACCTCAAATAGTAAACCAATGAATGCAATTTTTCCACTAAAAAAAACTACTTGAATAAATGAAGCCTTGCAAAATAAAAGGAGCCTTGTGAATTTTTTTCTTGACAAACTTGAAAAAAACAGTTCTGAAAATTACTTAATACCATTGAACTATGTGCTTAAAAATGGTTAAAATAGTTTTATAATATCTACATTTTATCACAATTAAAATAAAATTATATCAATAGAAAAAAGTCTAAAGAAATGCAACTTTTCGGCTCAGCGCCTATAGCTCAACCGGCTAAGGCGCCAGCCATGTACACCTAAGGTGGCGGGTTCAAATCCCCAGCGGGGACCCGCCAAACAACAATGACGGCTGCAATCAAAAAATAGCCGGGCATTGTGGCGGGCGCCTGTGGTCCCAGCTGCTTGGGAGGCAGAGGCAGGAGACTCGCTTGAGCCCAGGAGTTGGAGGTTGCTGTGAGCTGTGATGCCACGGGACTCTACCCAGGGGGACAGCTTGAGGCTCTGTCTCAAAAAAAAAAAAAGAGAATGCAACTTTTCAAGGCTGGTTTATCATTTCTTCATTCAAGAAATAGTCATTGAGGTAGCACTCGTAGTTGCTCAATGGGTAGGGCACTGGCCACATACACCAAGGTTGGTGGATATGAACCAGCCTGGACCAGCTAAACAACAATGACAACTGCAACAACAACAACCAAAAAAAGAAAAAAATAGCCAGGCATTGTGGCAGGCACCTGTAGTCCCAGCTACTTGGGAGGCTGAGGCAAGAGAATCGCTTAAACCCCAAGAGTTTGAGGTTGCTGTGAGCTGTGACATACTAGCACTCTACCCAGGGTGACAGCTTGAGACTGTCTTAAAAATAAATAAATAAAAAGAAATAGTCATTGAGGAAACGGCTATCAAGTTGCTCTATTGATGGATTTTTAAATTAATGAAAAAGCATATGATAATAATGGTTAAAACTTAGCCCTTTATGCATAATTCACTTCCGGGTCCCATGCAAAACACGACTTCACTTCATTCAGAAAATATTTATAGATCATATTTATGTGGAAGGCATTATATGGGGAAAGGAGAGAGGCGCGTTGTAATAAATGCAGTGCTTAATGGCTCAAAACCACAAAGATAAACCTTTTAAAAGTAAACTGCCAGTTTTTACTTACATGAAAAACAAGCTGTTTGAAGACTAGATATTAGACACTTCAAATAATATACAATAATACTAGTTTAAAACTATAACACGCCCCCTGAGTGAGGGGCTCTCCTACAAATGGAACTTTACCCTGGAAGTGAGAACAATGTAACCTAAATGTTGCACCCTCATATTAATTTGAATAAAGTTTTTTAATAAAAAGAAATGTACTAGCTTTAAACCACCTCCTTATTCTGAGGTTCCTTTGAAAGAACCCAGAGATACGACACAAAAGCAGCCGCCAGAGTAGGCAGAGCGTGGGCTGTGAAGTCACATGTTGCTGGGTTCAGGCGCTGCTCTGCTACTGACCAGCTGGGCAACCATGGACTCGCTGTTATGAGGCTGCCATTTCTCCAGCTGTACAGGCACCCACAGCAGAGCTTTTCCAAAGACTAGATGAGCTACTATCTATGAAGCCTAGCCAGTGTCTATCAGTAAGTAGTACTAAATAAATCTTAGCTATTAGAGTATCCCTGTCGTTAAATTTATTGTTTGGGTGGGTATGACTATCAGAGCTGAGCTAATATACTGAAAAGCCCCCTCAATGGATACTTCATTGGCCAGGTTTAGTCCAGACTCCAATGATAAAAATGTACCTTTGGGCTCGGCGCCCAAAGCACAGTGGTTACAGCACCAGCTACATACACCAAGGCTGGCAGGTTCGAACTCAGCCCAGGCCAGCTAAACAACAATGACAACTGCAACAAAAAAACAGCTGGGTGTTGTGGTGGGCACCTGTAGTCCCAGCTACTTGGGAGGCTGAAGCAAGAGAATCACTTAAGCCAAAGAACTTGAGACTGCTGTGAGCTGGGACGCCACAGCACTCTACCAAGGGCAACATAGTGAGACTCTGTCTCCAAAAAAAAAAAGTGCCTTTAATGCAGTTAATGCTTTTCTGTAGAAATCTAACCAAACAAAAACATGGCCCCAGAAACTCAGAAAATTTCAGATTTGGGGGAGTCAAAAATCACAGAAATTAAACTAAAGAGGTGTGTGTTGTACTCAGCCTGCTAAGATACAGCATATAACACACTGATTCAACTCACTTTAAATTCACAAGATATATACTCCACTGTTTACACTTGATTTAGGAACCTTTTAAGAAACCACTGTTGTCAGACTGAGTACATACTGCCTCACTGTAATATACAGTTGGCAATACTTTTAACACAACAATCTTGACCTTGAAGTGAAGAAACTCTGAACCACTTCACTAGGACAGAATCAATCCCTGAAGAATGGTGAAAACATGAGGTATGGAGTTATACCCAGGTTCAAATCCCACTTCTGCCTTTTATTGGTGCCAAGCACAGAGTTCACACATGATAAATACTCAAAACACCTGCAGTTTTCTTCTAACTCAAGATACCACTCAGGAGGCACACAAGCTACCATGTCTTATAGCATCCCTGAAGACAAAAAACCAGATGTCACTTTCCAAAAACTTCATGACAACTCAGCTTCCTGCTCCTTGTGTGTGCATAAAGTTGCATCAGTGAGCAGGAAATCGGGAAGCAGATAGGCCAAGAATAAAGAAGCTGACTCATTCAGTTCTTACTGGAACTTTTATGGACATAGCACTGACACATTCAGCATCCTACCAGTTAGCTAGCAGAGGGAAGAGGGAGCAGATACATACTGCAAGTGCTGGAGGACACTCATTATATAAACACAATTAAAGCCTTTCCACAGTCCTATGCCAGAGACACCAAGGGGAATAACAAGGATATTCCTGGCATCCCTCAGAATTATCCCACTCCAGCAAAGGCTCTTGCCTGAAGTCTCTGCTTCTAAAATATAAACATGTGAATAAGTGACTCTCCTATAAACTAACTAGATACATGTTCCAAACTTTCCTCCTGGCTTGGCGCCTGTGGCTCAAGCAGCTAAGGCACCAGCCACATATACCTGAGCTGGTGGGTTCAAATCCAGCCAGAGCCCACCAAACAACAATGACAGCTGCAACCAAAAAATAGCCAGGTGTTGTGGCAGGTGCCTGTAGTCCCAGCTACTTGGGAGGCGGAGGCAGGAGAATCGCTTAAGCCCAGGAGTTGGAGGTTGCTGTGAGCTGTGATGCCACAGCACTCTACCCCAGGGCAACAGCTTGAGGCGCTGTCTCAAAAAAAACAAACTTTTTTCCCCATTGTGTCTTTTTTTTTTTGGAGACAGAGTCTCACTATGTCACCCTGGGTAGAGTATTCTGGTGTCACAGCTCACAGCAACCTCAAACTGTTGGGCTTAAGCAATTCTCTTGCCTCAGCCTCCCAAGTAGCTGGAACTACAGGCCCCATTGTGTCTTAGTATGTATGTAATCCTCCTAATAAAACCATCTTTCAGAAATTAAGGAATTTACTCCAAAATACACAACTAATAAGTGGTGGAACCAATTCGTATATCCAAACCTATATCTTGAGTCTAAAATCCATGTTCTCTCTACTTCCTGCTGAAAATAAAAAATGTTAAAGGGGAAACAAGGCTCATCTCTATATTGTTATAATGCTAGCTCCAGAGAAAAATCTAGTAAGTGTTCCACAAATGCTTTTAAAAATTTGACCTCTTTTTATTTAGCCATTCTACTTTCACTTCACATATAGAAGCACAGATATAAGAAGTAAAAAGCGACAGCACCGCCTCTTCCAGGGCGTGCCAGATCATAGAACACAGGCAGCGCAAGTGCCAGGGTCACAAACCCACAAAGAGTAAGAGTGCAGCAGCGACCTGTGACTGGAACCGGGGCCCAGGAAAAGCGATTGTGTTATGGCTCCTAAGAAGGCGTGCATTTGTGCAGCAGCAAAAGCTCAAGAAGACCCTGGAGGTCAGGATCCGGAAGAAGATTGAACTTGATCCGGCTGATGAAAGCCAGCAGCCTAAGAAGCTGACCTTGTTGAAGGCCCCAGCCAAGAAGAAGGGGGCAGATGCTTCCTCCACTAAGACGCCTTCTTAAGAGTACCAGTCCCAGGGCGGTGCCTATGGCTCAAAGGAGTAGGGTACTCGCCCCATATGCCGGAGGTGGCAGGTTCAAACCCAGCCCCGGCCAAAAACTGCAAAAAAATGAATACCAGCCCCAGCAGAGGTCAACACTGCAGCCCCCACCTTTGTGCTTTCCAACCTTCCAGGCGACTCTGCAGCCTCACCAAGGGGAAGAGGACCCTGTCCTCAGTCCTGGGCTGTACCTAGAACTTTGGTGGGGGCCTGGCCCATGAGCAGGTGATCAGTAGATTCCAGGGTTCCGAGAACCCAGTGATAACCAAGAACATACGGTCACCAACTTCCTCAGCCCCTTTGCCCCAGGTTCTGTCTCTTTACAGGTGTAACCCTGAGCAATAAACTTGGTTTTATTCCCCTTAAAAATAAATAGAAATAAAAAGCATTTACGAATTGAATTTATGTTGAATTATATTTAATAAACTGGGGTATTTTGAAAAAACATTTAAAATAGTCTTTGGTACACTGTGTATAAGCAGAGACAAATCAGAATTTGAATATAAACTGATTAAAGTTTGGAATGGCCATAAAACCAAATTCTATCAATACCTCAGTCAGGGATGTCCAACCTTTTTTCTTTTCTGCCCCACATTGGAAAAGTAAGAGTTCTCTTGGGCCACACATTAACTACACAAACACTAACAAAAGATGATGAGAAAAAGGAAAGGTCCCTGCATACCTTTCACAATATACACTATTTGCGATATCTAACAACACAGATAAGCAAAACAGTCCTCAAAAATCTGCATGTGTCCCCCAGGAC